GCTCTATGCCAGATATATACAATGGGTGTTTTTCTCTTCCAAGGTAGGACTTCTCTTATAATACAATATTCCATATTTAGACATTGCTGATGACATTATTATTGAGTAAAACATAATGGTATACACAGGCACATCGCTACAGTTAGAAAACTAAACTAAAGCATAGATGGGAAAAACAATCTGGATGCAGGTTTCTTGCTGATTATGATGAAAAACTGCTCTCAGAAAAACAACAAACAATAAATATTGAAAATCTCACAAAACTAAAAAAACACCTTCAGATTTAAACAAACATTGATACTACAATTGCATTACCATATTAGCCTATATCTAAGCTTTCAGATTATGCATAAGTAGTTATATTGGCATGCATAAGGTGAAACTACACAGCCGACTCATCAGCCAATTCTAGTCGGTCGTCAGTTTTAAAAAGTCAGCTGAATGAACGCCAAAAAATGAAATGTGTTTCATTTACATCAACAACTGTCAACTGAACTAACATGGCGGTCATGTAATGTCACTTTCAGTAACATTTAATGAATATCTGAATCACAGATCAACTTCTAACTTTTTCCCTATTGCTACCATAAATCAGTGGGTTTTTTTTCACTCTATGGTTAGATGTTGGATCTTATGTACATCTATTTATATTGATGTTACATTTATAAAAAAAAGAATATAATTGTATTCTTTTTAAGGCAATTTGATGATTGATCACAAGTTTATATTATTTCAGATGGACAAGGTGATGGAAGAACGAGAAAAAGATGCCATGGTAAGATAAGCCCAGTAATTCCAGTTTTGATGTGATACATGTAACTTGTTATTTTTGCCAAGCAACAGTTTATGGTCAGGCTTGCCAATGATCAAAATTTGTTAAGATGACATCGTATACATTGGCAAATGACAACTGATCAGCCACCGTCTTGAAACATGCTCAACTCGCACGTGGACGACTGAAGCGCTAAGTGATACAACATTCCATTGTTATGTTTTTGGTAAATTAACAAATGTGTCGCCATCTTGAAACAACTCGTATACGAAAAGCTGAATCCCTAAGTGCTATAAGATTCTATGCTTACTCAATTCTATTCTCAGTAAATCAGTTTCTAAGCTGTGCTTTCTCATCAGGTATTACCTGAACATGATAGGGAAATAAATAATACTTTGCTTGATTAAATTGTTAAATTTAAAGATAAGCATAAAAACCATCATGTAAACATCTTCAATTGTTTTGACTTTTATACAC